ACTCTCTGCAATGAAAACACATGGCAATGTCAGTATCCCTTCCCTTAGGAAGCAGGGTTTACAAGATGCACGGTATGTCAAACCGCACATAAAGGCCCATTTATAAACTTGACGTTACGATTCCGTTACCGTTTGCGCCTACAGACGGGCTCGCCGTTAGCCCCGCCGTTCCAGCCACAAAAATTGGACAATTTATAAACTTATTGCCGTTTGACGTTCTCAAAAAGTAAATAATAAACATAACCTCTTTTGTGCGTGTGCCCTCATTTTGTCATTTTATGAGTGATTTGGACGATTTGGTGGTGATTTACCATTGTTTAATTATTGATGATAAAATAACATGAACCCAAACAAAATTTAAAATTCGAAAAATCAAAATAATCTCTCCCCTCTTCCACCACAGCTCGATGACATTTGAAGTAAACATCACATGACTGGTGAAAATCCGTTTTGATTGGCTCTCTCAAACTGTAGCATGACTTGCTACAGACGTCGACAACGGAAAAGATAAAATTGGTTTATGTCTGACGGAATGCAACGGCAGAGCTAACGGCGGACGGTGAGGCCGACGGCGAATATAAACGATCTTATGGAATCCTATATTTTTATGTTCACAACGGCAGGCGCAAACGGTAACGGAATTGCAACGTCAAGTTTATAAATGGGCCTTAAAGCGTAGTGCTCTTTTTTGCAAAACAAATACTAAATTAAACGTATAATCAGAGCAACCTTCTCAGAAAGCAATTCCGTATCGTAAATGTAACTCGATCAGTGCATAGTAAGCCATCTTATTCTTAACTGCCTGTGGTTCCAGGTTTTTTGCTATGGTTCTTGAGGCATAATAGCCAGCTGAGAGTTTATTCAACAGTTTTTCAATGTGATTAATAAAGTTAGGCGAATTATCAACATGTATCCCAAGAAATTTTACATATGTCATGGGGTTGAGTGTTATTGTTTCAATTTGAATTTCCTGTAAGTCGGATTTGAAAGTTGGAATATTAGTTTTAGTAACATTCAGTGTTAAGAGATTGATGTCAAACCACTTCTTTATTACTTGCAAATCCTTTTGGATTTTATAATAAAGAGAACTGTTCGAATCACGCCACAGAATGGTAGTATCATCAGCAAAGAGAGTAAATGAGCCTGATATATCAATATTGGTGATAATAATATACAGGAGGAACAAGACTGGTCCTAGGATAGAACCCTGAGGTACACCACAATTGGTGATTTATTTGAACATCTGACATTTTTCCCACCATGAAAACAATCTGAGTTCTTTCTGACAGACAGGATCTAAACCAGTTGAGGGCAACTTCGAGGTGTTGCCCCCGTAAATTTCTAGCCTTTGTAGTAGAATTCCGTGACTGACACAATCAAAAGCCTTGGTCAGGTCGCAGAAAACTGCACTATAATTTCTCTGAAAGAAAAAAGTGCATCAGTTGTACTTTTGTTATTTTGAAAGCCAAACTGTTCAGGATTTGATATCTTATTTTTCAATAAAAAAGGAACAACTCTGTTTTTTACAAGTTTCTCTATAATGTTGGACAAAGGGGGAAGCAAGGAAATTGGTCTAAAATTTGAAGGACTGAGGTCATTTCCTCCTTTGTGTAAACGTGCACGTGCACGATAATAGCCCTTTTAAGGAAATCTGGAAATTGTCCATTAAATAAACGAATAGTTTATTGCATCCACTAAAGACTCCAGTGCTGATCCACTCATTTCACACAAAAATTTAATGGGAATGTCGTCCCACCCTGGGGCGTTTTTGTTTTTAATCTCGAAAAATAGGTTTTTTAATTCCACAATATCTGTTGGGTACATAAAAAAGGTGCTTGATGCATATGATCTAGTGAGATATGTAAGGGGATTTATACTAGAGGTAATTTTTGAAGACAAGTTTGAGCAAATGGAAGAGTAAAAATCATTGAGTTCATTGGGATCAAGGTGATGTAAGCCCTTGTCATTACTATTATCTGACTGTCTTAGGTTGTTAACAATCAACCATGTTTCCTTTGACTTGTTTCTTGATTTTCTAATACTGTAACGGTGGCGTATCCGCCAGGGTGTCGAGAATCCAACCTAGAATCTAGTAAATTCTGCTTTATTCAGGCATCGGATTATCGCGTTTATTCTGGATGCTACACGAATAGATTGCGGGTATATAAAGGCCGGTATTAGTAGTTTTAAGTTTAAGATTGACTGTGATTTGATTTAGACAGTGATTATTGTTGAGAGTTGTAGAGAGTTTAGTTGTTGAGTTAATTAGTGAAGTAATTAGTGTCAGAGTTTATAGTAACGTGGAATAAATTATTGTTGAGTTAATTGGACTTTGATTTTGGAATAAACGAAACCAAGATTTCTGTCACGCATGCCAGAGCCCTGAAAATACGTTGACTATAGTATATCAGTTGGCAGTATTTTATATTATCACGGCGTGACAGAAATCTTGGGTCCTTTTATTCAAAAATCAAAGTCCAATTAAGTAGCACAACAATAATTTATTCAACGTTACTATAACATTCTGACACTAATTACTATCTGAATCGAGATCTGAATCGTATAACAGCCAATCTTAAAACTTAAAATTACTAACCAATCCTGGCCTTTATATATCCGCAATCCATTCCTGTAAAATCCAGAAGAACGCAGTACGTTCTAGAATTCACTTATGTACCTAATTTTGTGCACCCTCGCGGAGGCACCACATATTCTTTACACTGTCCTCCTCTTAAGATTGATTTTACAAGAAAAAATCACCTGATTCTTTTAGGAATTCTGTGTGTTTGGTTAAATCGAACCTTTTAATCCCACAGAGTTTGGCCAAAAGTTGGTGTCGTAGAGTCCATCTCTCTTCGCAAGAGGGGCTACAACAACATAGCATTTTTGCTTTTTTGGGTTGTTGTTAATAGGTTTGTTCCAACCAGCGGCGGATTTAGGATTCCTTCTAGGGGGGGGGGGCGATCCATCAGGGCCTCAGGCTCAGATAAGAAATAATAAAAAAACGACTTAAATATACAGAGTGGCAAAAAAGTCGCGTATAATACCTGTAACTTTCTAATTACCTCGTATACGAAAAAGTGAGCTTAATGAAAGTTGCTCAGTAAATTAGGGACATAAAGCTTCCGTATTTTTTGCTCGGTATCCGTATCGGTATCGTACTACGCATGTGCAGAAGCGATACGGAGGCCGAGATACCGTACGTACAACGTAACGTTACGGCCCTGTCGCGGTATCCGTATCGGTAACGTATCTTGACATTCCTGACGCATGTGTCAAATTTCAAATGAATATAACCTCCCTTTTCTTCCGGGTTGATTTAATTTGTTTAGTTTTTACTTTCTTGAGTTTCTTGTGTTTAGTGCTTCTCTATCGCAAAAAAATAACAATTTTAAGGTTAGATATAAAAACGCCGAAGTTTTGAGACAAAAATGTCTAGGTTATGAAATGCGTTTACGTTTACCGGAACAGGGAGCGCTTTAACAGCCTTTTCGCTTGTCAACGTATCTAGTTGCGTTACGGATACCGATACCGATGAATTATTTCAAGTAGCTTTATGTCCCTAATATTTCCCACAATTCTACTTAAACGTATTGCCTGTGTCACTTCTGGTTTGTTTGCTATCTAGACCAACTTTCTTTTTTTCAAATAAAACACCCTGTATGTGATTGCATATTTGGATTCTACGTAAAATTCTGAGCAGATTTCATGTGATATACCCTGAGGATATACCCTATACCTAAGTTCAACTGTTTTGGAAATATTGACAGTTGAACATTGACTTTTTGCAACTTTGACAGGCTGTAAAACCTGAACGGTTAATTTCAGAGGAAAACCGATTTCACATTCCTATCTCAGATTTTCATAAACTATCATTTGACATCAACATTTAATTTAATCGGAGATTAAATTTAATTGGAATTTTCAATTATAGATTAAATTCAAAGTTGGTGCGGATTTACGTCATCCGCAGTCGATTCGCTCCCAGCTCGCTGCTGCCAAACGTATTTAAAAGTATTAAAAATTTGGAAAAATAGCAAAAACCATATGGAATTTCATGTTGGATAATGCTTGATGAATATGTTTGTGTTTTCGTTAAAAATTTCGTTGTTGCGTCGCTCAATAGGGGGGGGGCGCGCGCCACTGGTTCCAACCTGCAATAATATTACTGTAATATTTTCGTCCGTAACCGCGCTAATGCGACTGCGCAATCAAAAACAGTAATATTATACTGAATAACTTAAAAACTTGTTGGAACGTTTTTTGATTTAGTAGTACTCACAACACAAGATGAAAATAACAAAATCAACATAACTTGCATACTTTCTAGGTGAATCATCTTCCACCACAATAAGGAATTCTTCTAAACCTAATATAAGACAAAAATCAGATTTATTAACTCTAAGAACAAATAAAATAAAATTACTTAGCTTCTATAGCAGTCATTTTAAATAAATAATTTAAATAAACAAAAAACTGAGGTTCTGGGTTATGTATTATTATTTATATTTGTTGTTGTTCAACCACTGACCTGTTTTCGACCTCACTATGCATGCGTCTAATTTTAGAACCAACAGTTCTTCCTATCAAGCAAGAATCGTTTGAACCGTAATTTTACTATCCGTAACTCTGGTTGGAACGACGAACTGTCAATTATCGCCAATTCTAAATCAGTAATTTTAACTGGTTGGAACAGCATTTCACAATTGCGCATGTGTGCCAGTAATATTACTGGAAATTACTGCCGGTTGGAACAAACCTAATGTCACACTGAAAATTGAGAATATTATTTTTCGAAATATTGAGAGATGTATTTGCATCAAACCAATCTTTCAACAAAATTACATCCGGCTGAATTTCCTCAGGAAGCCTGTCAACTTTCTGGTCATGCCATCCATACACACACACATTATCACACACAGAGATTTTTTCATGTCTCCGACTTCACCTCCTACTCTAATGAAAACGGATAAAAAATATATGTACGTATATATTTTCAGGAGGAAAATCCCAGGGCTGCAATTACATTTAACTGGATACATTTCAGTAGACAAGTACGAATTGAAGGCGATATAGAAAAATTACCTGTCGAAACCGCTAATGAGTATTTCAATAAAAGGCCATATCAAAGCCAAATAGGTGCACTATGCAGTGATCAGAGTAAGCCAGTTGAGAGCAGAGATATACTGTTTCAAAAGGAGCAGCTTTTGAAATTACAATACAAAGAGGGACAAGTTCCCAGACCAGAGTTTTGGTAAATATAATTCCAATTTTCAATAATGCTTGCTTGAAAACAATATTCTTTTTAGGGGTGGTTATCTGCTGAAGCCAAAAATGATCGAGTTTTGGCAAGGACGAAGTGATCGCATCCATGACCGTATCAGATTTCGGTTTCCTGCAGCCAATGAACCGGATGGCGTGTTAACGAAACCAGGCGATAAAGGATGGATTTATGAAGAATTATACGCTTAGACTTGAGAAACGTCTCTCCTATCAAATATTGCATTTTTTTTTAATCCTAATGTTATGTTGACAATCAAATTTTGACGAGGTGACAAAAAAATGTTTTCATTTAAATCAAATAATGTCAGCAGAGCATTTAGAATTATACTTATGCACAGTACTATAGACTTAATTATTGTTTCTGGCAACTCAGAAGGCCAAGTTTTCACTGGATGGCTCCAGCTTGGTCCATTATAAACTACTCTATGAATAAAATATCTTAGAATTTGGCAAAAACCAATCGAATTTTTTTATTTTCTTTATTTCATTTTAATTTTGAAAAAAAAAATCTGTCACCCAATGGCGTCTTTACTTTTCAATCTATGAGCCACCACTTTTATATGACTTATATCGGGAGGGTGCCCAGATCGTTTTATGAATTAATTAATTATCAAATAATTTTTTTTCACAGATACTTATAACCAAATTTTGCAACTGCATAACAAAATTTTCTGAGATCTTGCCATAGGTCGTTCTGGTTCTGTTGTCGTAAATAATTCTGTCTGCACTGGTTACTTTCCGGTCGTAGTTTCATTGATCGATTCCTCTGGTGCAAATGTATGGGTGCACCCAAAATCAAAAGACTAGTGAGACCACTAAAAAACTTAGTTGTTAGCTACGACTATACTTTCACGATTTAGAAAATTACTTACTTACCACTTACTTATGGTTATTTGTATTTTAGACAAAATAGAAAAAGATGCTAATGCTACCACAACAGGATGCTTGAAATAGAGGAGTAAAAATTGATAATAGAAGAAAGAAAGGCTTGTGCCCTTGAGAAAATTAGTGAAAATCTAATAAAACAAAACTTTGTTTTGAACTAAATGACTTTTGTGCTTCAATTTTTTTCAAAAACCCTACTGATTCTGACAAAAGGTATATAGGGTCATGTTAGCCACCTCATATACCCTAAAACTTACATATACATGTGGATTCTCCTACTCGTATAACTTAAGAATTGGCTTCAATAATCTTTGTTCAAATTTTGATAGAGATAGCGTACTATTGGTAATGCAGGTATAGCTTGGAGTAACAAACGTGTGTCTGTTAAAAAGCCTGAGAAAGACGAGAGATTTTGCAACAAAATTTATTTCAATAAATTTACTAAAGTATACAATGGTGTCGTATTGGCAAATGATTATCTGCTTTTGGATAATCCTCGTTAAGAGTTCCATAAAAGTCTGACGAATGTGTTTATTTCTGCGTTTCCTCTTATGCTTGAAAAAGTTGAATCTAAACAAAAGCCACGGTTTACAAAAGAAATCAATATTTTATCCAAGAAGTTTAGGAGTGTTCATCAGAAAGTTGAAAGTGTTCATCAGGAAGTTGGAACTGTTCGCCAGGAAGTTGGAACTGTTCGCCAGGAAGTTGGAAGATTCCGCCAAGAAATTGATAGTGCACAGAAAAAATTAAAAAGTAAGAATGTGACTTAAGATCAGGAAATATCTCAGCGTCGGCGTCGCCTGCACCCAGTATTAAAGTTAAGCCACCACCCTACGACGGACAGACATCATGGGCCCATGAACCGACGTCAATTCGAGACTGTTGCAATAGCTAATGGTTGGAGCTCAGATAACATGGCTACATTGTCATTGTAGCATTGCGTGGCCCTGCCTTAGATCTCTTAGAGACTCTTACGCCAGCTTCCCAACAAAAATATGGTGTTGTCGATTCCTTGGAGCGTCCTTAGCAGATAAACACCGACGGCAGGTTTAGCAGGTAAAACTAAGAACAAGGCAACAAAAAGCTGCAGGGAGCCTTCAAGAATTTCGAACCGACATCCGCCGTCTGGTTGCTTTAGGCCCGTCGCACACGGAGCTACTGGTATGAAACTGAAATTAAACTATAATCACTTGACAGTCTTTTGCAAGTTCACGGCATGTGTATTCAAATCGAATGTCGTACACGGCGCTACTAGTCAGTGGCGCATCCAGAGTGTGGGTCTGGGGGGGGGGGGGGGGGGGGTAAACAAAAATCCGATACATGCGCTTAATTACCGCCGCGCCGGAGGCAGCTTGTCGCAGGCTCCCCGAAAATCTTTTGGGGGCGTCAGGCCCAAATTATTACCTTCCAAAAATCGAAGTTGAGAAAACATCGATCTACCAATATTTTCTTAACATCGATATCAGCTTTCGATATTTTATCGATACGGAAACATCGATGTTATCAGTTGGATGGGCATCCCTAGTTGTTAAATGTGTGGTAGGTAAAGGCCGAATTAATAGTTGTTCCTTGGGTCTTCCTTGAAGGTCGTGAATTAAGAGTGGACACTTGCTACTATGTGACAAGTTAAGGCCGAAACCCACTAGCAACACCCCACGCCATGTGATACAGGTTCACGTGGGACAGTTTGTGTGCAAATGGACGGATGGCGTGGCGTGCCATGACGTGGTATCGCGTATGGCAAGTGTGTACGCAGCACATATAAATAAATGGAAGAATATACGCATAGGTACATTTTCGTCACATGGCGTGGCGTGGCGAATCATGACGTGGCGTGTTGCTAGTGGGTTTCGGCCTTTAGTCATATATCAATTCTGAACGTTCAAGGCCTCCTTGAGATCTGAGGATTCTGAGGAAATCTAAAGGAGCAACTATAAATTCGGCCCTAGGGGCCGGTTTCTCAATAGCAAGTCACCCCCAGGTTAAGCATAACTCCATTGAAACTGGACACGTAAGGGCAGGTTTCTCATAGAGAGATATCGGTAAAACAGATAGCGCGTATGGACGGTAATAACGTCAGGAGTTATTTTTTAAAGTACTTAAAGCGGTATCATACTTTCAAATTAGAGTTATCGGAAAACAGTTTAAAGTAAAATTTGCCTTTTCGCATTCGTTATTTTATAACCGTAGCCTAACTTGTACCTTGTTGTAATTTGATTTGTGTTGTCTGTTGTTCATAGTCAGGGACAGAGGATCTGCTTTTCTACTATTTTTTGAACAATCCATATTCACTTGAACACATCAAAAATAATAAAATAAACATAACATAACCTATTATTCCACGACGTTATTTTTAGACGTTATTCGAAATAGCGCTTAACGTAAATGCTGGGTAAATTATGTTATGCGGTAACGTTATTTTAGTACGTAGTGTTAAAAATCGAATCGCGCATAGGTTTAATGTCAAAATAACGTAGGCGCTAATACCGCATGAACCTCTTTGGGTTACCAATATCTCTCTAATAATAGGGACCTTTTGCATTGGTTAATAACGGACGAAGACGTCATTTTTATTACGCTATTATGAACGTTATATTTTCAGTTTTTGCACCGTTTGGTGTGTTGACAATACGTTAAAAAGTTAGGTTATAAATCTTGTTGTTTGTTGTTTTCTGTAAATTTTTTTTGTTGCAATGGAAAATGTACTAGACGCTTATTTGAGACACCGGAGGCACCTTGGGGTTGATCATAATATAATAAGGGGTATTGTGTTGCGGGATATTTTTTTAAACGAACCACCAAACCCCATCCCAATCGGTGTTGTCAATGCATTTGGAACTCATCAGACTAGACTAAAATAATGTAGTCAAAACAATAATAGTCAAAAGCAAACATTTTTAATACAATTAAATAAAAGAAAACATACATTTTTGTAGATGAAAACCATGAAAAGTTCGCATTTTAGAAACTTAGCATTTTACTACCGGCAACATCGTCTAGACTTTAAACGTTGCTAACGGGAACGCAAATCAGCCGTAGGTAACGTTGAACTTAATCGCTTAATAAGGCAAAACGCTATTTCCCATCAACTGCGCACGCGCCAAATAAGCGATAAAGTAAAATTATAGCAAAATAAGCGGTGCAAAAGGTCCCTAATAGCGAGACACCTCCGGGTGAATTTCAACTCCAGGGTCAGCGTGTCCAGTTGCTTTGTTTACCTTGGATTTATGTTTAACCCCTTATTTAACCCGGGGGTGTCCTGCTATTGAGAAACCGGCCCTAAGACACGTTTACCCTGGCCGAGTTGGTTTTTGTCATCTTTTTCGTCAATTTGCTTCGAATTTTTGACAGGCACGTGATTGGATAAGATAGTTTCAATTTACAAATCACATACCTGTCAAAATTTCGGAGCAAATCGACGAAAAAGATGACAAAAACGAATTCGGTCCCTGGAGTTAAAACCAACTCAGAGGTGAATCGCTATTGAAACCGACCCTAAGTGGCGCGGCACCGAGTGACAGACATTTGACGTCGATGACAAAGACAAAAGTGAAAAAGCGCTGCTGCCATAGCCGCTTTCCAGTATGCACATTGGCGCGCTCCAGAGCACCTCGGGGGCGCCACGCACTAGATTTGTACCGTTCCAGTATCATGGCGTGAGACGCCTGTCTTAGTGTCAAATATGTCAAATTTTAAAAATAATTATCTGTTTGTTTGTGCAGTTTGTTTTTTTATTTATCAAAAATGAAAGAGAATCAAAACTATATATTTTAAAATGTTCAATCTTGAGATATAACAAGAAATAAATAGATAAATAGCCACCCACAGATGTGACAGCTGATAGGTTGACGCGTACGTACAGCTCGGGGGCTCCACGCCCCGAGTAGCTCCCGGCGTCACACTCCCATACTGGAAAGCGGCTCATGTTAGTAGTATTTTAAGTTTTAGTTTTCGCAATATAATTCCTATATTTTCAGTAGAAAAACTAAAATTTATGTTGGTTGAAAATTTTCTGGGGGGGGTGGGGGGTAATTACCCCCATTACCCCCCCCCGTATATGCGCCCCTGCTACTAGTCTCCGACCCGTACGCTACTGGGTTAGTGATAAATCGCCAAGAGACTCGAACTGTTGGTCGCGCGAGGATTTGTTGGAGATTTTTTTCGGAATTTGTGTAGTGAAATGACGGGAAACGGAATGAATGAGCAAGTTGCATACACTACACTGAACAAACGCGTTTATTTGCGATCCTCGTCCCGTCCCCCCGTGTACGAAAATTGAGTATCTAACTAATTTGTAACTGGCGTCTCAACTCAGTTTCGTCTTTTATGGGTAGCTCCATGTGCGACGGGCTTTAGCCTATCCGGAAGCAACAGCAGAAATGCGAGAGCAACTAGTGGCCGAAAACTTTATAAATGGACTTCGAAATATGGACGATGCTGGAAAGGGACATTGAATGTTACCGCTACGGTAAAAAGGAACGTCTGACTGTAGAGTACAGCTAAGATCTCGCTATTCTTCTGGTGACTCTCAGCAGACTAACCCAAACTCATCCATAAAGTTTGACCAATGCCGCCAAGCTGTGCACAAGCGTCTGAGGATCACACGGAGGCAACGCAACGCCACGAATATGGTCGAAAGTGTACGAACGAAACTTTAAAAAAATTTGGCGCGGCGACGCGACAAACGGAGGTTCACTAGCATTTTTGTTTACCGTCTCTTTATTTATTTGACACAAAATTATTAATTATAAATCGATAGTTTGTCTTATTATCAATGACATGAGAGGAAGTTTTCGAGAAATTCTCACCTAAAAAAACACATGGAGAGCACAATTCACAACAAAATTTAACATTTAATAATAAGGAAGACTTTTTTGAGTGGAAAAGAAAATTAGAGCAAGATACCATCAGAGCACAGTTTATAAAATATGGAACTGTTAAAGGTAGTGATGAAACGATTACGATTGCGATTACGATTACGAATAGCCTGCGATTATCAAGTTTCCACGATTAACCGTAATCGCCGATTATCTTTATACGATTTTACGATTATACGATTGTGTATAATGGAATCACTTAATTTGTAATATTGGCTTTTTATTCAATTTTTATTGTAATGAAATCAGGTTCATAGATTTTCAAATATTTTTCCAATGAAATTGAATTAAACAAACTGTATTTTGATTCCCAGCAATTAATTTTTTGGTAAA